GCAGTATTGGAAAAGGAACAAACAGAAAAGGAATGAAGCAATGCAAATTGAAGAAAGGAAATCCATTGGCATGTCTTAAAATGCATTAACAATGTCAGCTAAAATGAGATCATAATTAGTAAGGAATTTAGATTCTGTACACGTAAGAAATGATACAACAACCTGCTAATTGGAGACAATACTATTCAAATGTTACTGAGGAACACAGACTGGTACACAATTATGTGCAAGGAGTGGGAGGCTTACAAGAAATGTTTCAATCTAGTAGACTGAACCACAGCTGAGAAAAGGCTAAAACAATAACCTTGAAAACAAGCATTAATAAGCTACTGTCACAGCACAAGGACGATAAAGAAGAACATGTTTGTTTACACTGTCATCCAAATTTTGCCTACAGGCAGACTTACGTTTTGCAAGACAGTCATATACATATATGCATAGTATTTGTATACATATGTGAAAGTGAAATAGAGCTTTAACATTAACTACAGAGAGGCAAGACTTCACACTCTAGGACTATATATTACAAAATGTCCTATAAAAATAATATTATAGTTTACATGCTGTTTAGTAATAATTTTGACAACATGAGCTGGGGGAACTTACATGTGGTTGATTTTTTAAAAATTACTAATACGTTTTTAAAATTATGGCTACAGAAAACAAATGCTCAGATCTGGCTTCTGGTGCCTGTGCTGCCATTAATAATTGCTACTTGTCCCTGAGAGACTGAAACATCAAGCGACCTCGCCTAACAGTGATGATGTAAAAAGAAATTCATTAATAGTGTATTTGCGGAGCACTCAGATACCGCCGTGAGAAGCAGCATGGAAAAGCCTATGAGGAAATTAATCATTCTACATTCAGTGCAGGATCTGGCAGATGTGCAATAAAGCAAGCCTGGAGACATACATTAAATATGAAGATAAAAGATTCTAGCCATTAACGGCAGAAATAATATCCCCTGAATGAGCATCATCTGCCTTAGGTATTCAATGTTTGATGTATTCTTATTCAATACAAGGGAAAAACTTCTGATTAATGTGATAAGATTATAGCAAGTACCAGCCCGGTATTCTACGCAAAATATAGAATCTGATAATGTAATTAAAGTCTATCATAAATATATTTTCTGGGACTAGTATTTCCTCATTTCTGCATGCTTAATTTTGCAACTAAATAACACTCCCACAGTGCAGCAATTATTAGCAAGTGTACATTATCTCTGCACCCAGAGACTTCTGTCACCACAGCTCCAGGTGTGTTATATGTTAGCACAGTAAATCAATCCCCATTTCATGCTGCAGCTGCTAGACTGCTTCTGTAATCAAGCTATCCCCTTTTACAGCTACCTCAAGAGAGTCAGGAAAGCAAAGGCAAGGCAAAAAAAGGCTGAACAGTGGTGACAAACCTGCAGGTTCAGAGCTAGTTCAGATATCTGTACTAACATTGCAACTGTAAATTACTAATTTTATTTTACTCTGCATCAGTTCAGTTCTCCTCTCCTATCCACATAAGTTATGCTTTATCTTACTCCATCAGCTCAAATCTGAAGATAGAGTTCAATTTTTCCTCTGTTAATCAGTAGGGACAGCTGCTGGAGAGGGAGGGTGTGTAAGAAGGACTCTAGAATGCACCCCTGGGTTGGAAAAGGTCTATCAAAGCTGCTTTCTATAGTACTTCAGAAATGGGGAGAAGAGGCATGGGGTCTCCATGCATGGCTGTCCAGAAAAATTAAAGATGTGCTAGAATAATCTGACTGGCAGAAAGAGTCTCACATCTGTGCTGAGATGCAGCAGTACTGTAACATATCATGGTTCCTAGTACAAAAAAACCCCACTGCATGAGACAACTGGATGACTTAGTTCTTCAAGCAACCACATGTAAACCCATGCCAGTGTCGATAATAAGACTTTTGCCTGGGCTACTTGTCAGAAAGGACACACTACCTGAAGATACAGGGTGAGGTAGATAACCATGGGCTGAGGAACTGCAGCACTCAAAGGTTCCCAGGCAGTATATCAACAGGTACATCCCGGGTCTGACACCCAAAATATCCCTCATCCTGACCCACCCCAGGAACCAGCCCGCACAGCATGGGGGCACAGCTCAGAGGTTCTGATCACCCAGTCTGCTGAAAAGAAAGGCAAAGTTCTTCCACCTTCTCTGTGCAATAGCAACTATCTCTCATGTTTAGTAGGACAGCCCACTACCTGCAGACAGTCTGACTCTCACACACAATCTGCCTTGGAAAGAAGAGGCTAGCCTATGCCTACCTCGGCAAGGTGAAGGCAGGCTCAGGGATGCACAAACCTCACACAGGCCATGTATGTGCTTTCTATGCTACTGCCCATGGCTTGGGCCCCAAGCATATTTGCTGCTTAGGAACGATCAGCTCAGTTTATTAGCTGGCAAGCCACGGAGTAGGGCTTGGACCCTCCTCTGCCTAATTCAGACAGACACCACAAGTGGGAGTTTGGGTCTGTCTGTTCAGCCAAATGTATTCTGGCTCTCCATCTTGAGAAGCTTCAAAACTTGGCTGAGCTATTGATATATTTACTGCTTTCTTTCCCACAAGAGGAACATTTCTATTAAAAAAGGTGCATGGCATACTTTCTAAGACAAATCTGATCAGTTGCAAGGAAAAAGAAAGTTTGTTATCTTCGTAAATATGCATGTCCACAAAATGATGTGCAGTTCCCTTTCAAGGATCACTGATTTCTGAGGATTCAGGTGGCCAGTGCTTCACAAGCAAAAATATTAACAATTTTAATAAACAGATCTTCCGGGACAGCATAGCAAAGCTTAATGATATGTTTGTCCTCAGCTAAAACAATGGTAGTAGGTAACGGAATTTTTTTTCTCCATCAGGCATGAAAAAGGCTAATATAGATATGTTTTCCATTTACTGTGCTAATAATGTAACTAATGGAAACTGGGGTAGTTGTTTGTGGTTTTTTTAAGATAGCCTATCCACTAGTTTCTATTTGACACAAACAGGACATACCATGAATCTGCTGTTCATACAAGGTTTGCTTATTTCAATATAAAATTAAGACAGCTAAATCTGATTGAATGCTAAAACTAACTTATCTCTTTTCAGGAATGCAGAACCAAGTAAAGATTTACCTAGGTTTCCTGGAGATAAAAAGCAAACAATAAACCTAAATGCAGGTGAAAGACTTGCAACAGAGTTGGCAATCACCACATCATAATCAAGACATTCTAACAAAAATATCAGAATGTGTACAAATAAACAAACCAAAGTATGGAATTAGAAAAAATCATCGAGTGAGATAATCAAGAAGTTATAATATTGATCTTTGAAAAGGTCAGCAGTACACAATGATATCTACAATTACAAGGTTCAAATATGACAACAAAACTCAAAAGAATTACTACATAAGTGACTTTTTCCAACTGTTTGTAGCTCAGAGGACTCAAATATATTGATCACTTCATTTGAATACTCTGAAATTTCCTGTCTTGGAAATCTGAACAAGGCATAAGGGAAACTGATTTGTAAAAGCCCATGTTATGTTTGTTTGTTTTTTTCAAAAATCTCACAAGTCTGATTAATTCCCACATAAACTGAAGGAAGTGTTAATGACAGGCATCGCTCCCTTTTTGAGCTCAAATTTTTTGCTCATCTCTTTTTGAAAGAAGATAGGTTTTGCTGTTGGGTATTCTCAACAAACGGTAGCCAAAATGTCTATTGCCAGATACATCAATATAAAGGTGCAGGCCCTGCCTCTCATCTCATCTGACTCATGTGAACTTGGGACATTAGAATCACAGGGAAAAGAAACCACTTTTTCAAATACAGTTTCACTGACATCGATATTAAAATACCTATTTCTTTTTCAATACATCAGAAAAAGATAATTCCTTACTTCATAGATGTCTCACAAAGCGAGGTATTTGGTTATCAAAGGATCAATATCACTTTTGGTTACATAACAGAAATAGTCAAAGCCCCGAAATAGGCCACATTGTGAAATGACAGGACTCTGTAGTTATTACATTTAAATAACATGTCAGTCTTGATCAATAGATCTCTTTAAGGGACCAGGACTTCCATTAGTAATGTTCTTTTACCTGCCTAGTAAGAAGGTTACAGGAAATTTAAACAAATAAAGATTGATTTTTGTTAGAAAAGGGTGTTCTTTATACTTTGCCATAATACAGACATGTTATGTTAGGGTGCTGCTACGCGTAGCAATTGCTTTACTTAATTCCCTTTTCAGATTTCCTTTTGTGATCCATGCTGTAATCTGTGTCAAAAATGATCATCATCAAAATACATAGGTTCTTTTTGCCCTTTGAAAAATCATTCTTTTATCAGATTATATAGATAATTAGTGTATCCAGGAAAAGCATGTTTAAGATTGTTAAGACTCCTAAGAGATTCTAATTTCTTTCAGCATTTCTTAACTCTCTTTGTTATTTTTCCACAGTTTTCATAAAGTAACTTTAGCCATGTAATGCCAGTGTGTAATCCCTCTTTGGATATGGATTTTAAACCTCAAAAAAACAATTAGGAAAGCAGGCACCTAAGAAATACCCGTAGCATAGAAAACCTTTTCAATTGGCTAAATCTGACTGATGGTCTATTTTCCAGTGCTTCAGAATCATCAGTAGCATAGATATGTTGTTTTACTCATTTATTTTGCCATTGCTCAGAAGAGGAAACTATCGTGTCCCACAAGGTATGATAGCAGTCTCTCAGGTTACATTGCATACCATTAGAAAGGCTATAGTGAGTTTAAACATATATTTAATCTCTGTACCACCTTTTTAACCACCTGCAAACAGCAAACATCAACTATAGTAACAGTTTCAGATTTCTGACAACTATGAACCAGAGGAATCTGAAAGATTATAGGGTAACAGTTCTAAACCAGTGTGTGCATTTTATATATCATCTGAGTCTGCATTTTAAGTAAAAGGAATATTACATAGCAGTTATTGGCATAACAATATAAAGACCTTGGTCTTACCCTTTGTTTTCAAGTCGTTTAATACCTTTGATTCTACAGGCAGTATATCGCTCACCAGTTTTATCTCAATATTTCGGGATGCCAGTTCAAGCAATTTTTCAAAAAGACGCTGACCCTGGGAAGAACATTAAAGAAAGCAGAAGTTGTAAGACACAGAATTGTTCTAATAGCATATCATAAACCCAAACAAAAACATATTGTACAACCACTGAGTAAATATGTTCCTAGATGTGGTTAAATCTATTTTAAAGATTAGCAACTCAACTTTTTTTTTTTTTGAGAAATACTGTTTTGAAGGCCAAACTTGCTTCTTCCTTTTCCCAGATTGTGCAATACTATTGAGGACAGGTGACATGCAGAGAATGAAGTGGTTTTATGCTGCATAAATGTATTTTTACATTTACTTTCTTCTATATAATTACATTTTGTTAAATCAGGATAAAAAGTCCAAGGAAAAGAACAGTTATTGTGTATTGAATGTCCATTTTGTAAGTTGTTCTAACCATAGGACAATACAGTATTCAAGTGATCACATACTCATCTTTAGATGAGCTATACCAGGGGTGGAAAACAATGATCTCTGTGTATTTCATACACATAGATCCCCTTTTGATACTATTTTAACTTTATTATTTAAGCCCTATTTCTAACACAGAAAAAAAAAAAAAAAAAAAAAAAAAGAGGGAATCTCATTCTGAGCCACAGCATGAAATTTAAATTGCTCCATTTTTCCAAGAACCAAAGAAAAAGTAGACCTTCTGATTGCATAGTACATGCTTAATTTTAGAGTCAATATTTTAACTTAAAGAAAAATGCTTACTTAGAAGGATCTAAGTACACAATGTCAAGAATAAAATATTCGGTGTACCACTACTGTGCTGTATTACTACAACCACAGTTAGAGGCTGTTTCCTTACTGCCATTCTACCTTGCCACAGCAGACACTAGTTACAGTTAGATGAATATGCAAAAAAGTGCCTGCCCTACCTACACAGTTCACTTTTGATTTGATATAATGTTGGCCCCAAGGCAAAGCTAAACCAAAAAAGCAAGTCATATTAACTTTCCAACAAACAGGTAGAACACAAAGCTTTCCACAGAAACACCTTAGATAACTCTCTATACAAACTGTTACTCTAAAAATCTTAAAATGATCGTTCTGTTCAGTGAAAATGGCCATAGCAAAAGCAGTTTGGGATGATGCAGTCTGACACAGCATGGACTAACAAAACCTCAGACATAAGCCCTCCTCTCACATCAAATCCAGAAGCAACAGAGAGTGGAAAGCCACCCTTTGCCCTGTAATTGCCTGCATAGATTGACACTTTGAGTGTTGCTGAGCCTTAAGCATTAAGCAGTCACAGAAAGTTGCTCTTCACCTGTCAAAAGTACAGATCTATTTTTTAATATTCACTTATTTTGAATATATGTAGTAAAATAAGAATACCCACCCTCCTGAAAGCTAGCTTTCTCAAAATTACAGAGCAGCCAGAGGCTGCAATGGAAACACAGAACTACCATTTATGTTTTACTTTTGTAATATATGCCTGCTTGCTGGCTTAAATCCACAGCAGAGCTTCCTGCTCATCCCAGGCCTCACAGGAGCTTAGTAGTCAGTAAAATACTGCTATAGTAAAAGCATTAGACAATAGCTACCAGAACAGGAAAACAAAACAATGCTTTGCACGAAGCTCAAAATGCTTCTTATACTCAGATTCTGCATTTCTTGAAGGGACTAGATGGTCCCATATGTAAGAAATAACACCTGTGATTTAACTCACACACCCAAAAGCCCTTACTGAGTTGATGTGAAAGTCAAGGAGCGGCTATTGCTCACATTCCTCATGAAGCTAAAAGGATCTTTAATTTTCATATCAGTGACTGTCTTGGGGTTTTTTAAAAGGAAAAGAGCAGCAGATGTTACCAGAGGTAAGAATTAATGAGGTAATAGTGTGGAGGGGGTGGATGCTGAATACAGAGTTATGCAGCAGCTCTATCACGATCCCGGAGGAGTTGAAGGGCACTGGCCAATATTCCTGGGTGCTCTGCTCCCTCCAAGAGGGTCTCTCCTGCAATTGCTGTGGACTGGCACTGGTAGACTCTAACTGAATCTGGGAAAAACACTCACTGCACTGTTTGCCGAGTTCCCAGCACCATGCCTTGCTCTGTCACCCAGCTCCCGCAGGGCGACAGGCTCCTGACATGCCAGAGCTCAGGCTGCCTCTGGATCCACTTCGTCTGAGTCCACTGACTGGAGACCAACAGCTTTGTTTTTCATTAGTTATATCTTTGCAAAAAGTGAGCAAGGAAAATTAAGGAATAAAAGGCTTGCATGACATTAAGTAATTAATTATGTAGAAATTGCTACTCAGGTTCTATATGTTGATTTAACATACTAGATAGAAAGACAGACACACACTGGTTTTATCTGGGTTATCTGTAAAAACTGATTTTGACTAGAAGCATAGTGGAAAGCTATCATACAAAAATAAACATGGAAAAAGCATTCATAAATTTGATGGAAAGTGATTTGAATTATCTATACAAATTAATGCATTAACTGTTCTGATAAAGAAAGTTAACATCTAAAGCTCATAATATTAATTGTTTCAGGAGATGGTTCTTTACCAGGTTTTTTCCCCATGGTAATTGTTTTTGGACATTATTGCCACTTCTACCTGCACAAGATTTTATTTACATATGATTTACAAAAGTTTTGATAAACAAGCCTCGACTTTCTGTTTTAATTTTAGTTTGGACAAAAAAGAACATGGCAGTGTTTCCTGAGTTTTATCTGATCTTAGCATGCCCTGATACAACCAGCACACCATCCTTGATGGACCACCTGGCTGTCTCTTAGAGGCCATGCTGCCAGCTGAATAGTCCATCCTATGGGTGAATAGATCCCTTGGAGTGCAGCCCTGCATTCCAATGGAGATACCTTCTCTGAAAATATATCTATTTTCCCATCTGGAACACTACAACCTATATACTTATAGTATCCTTTTTTGTCCAGTTAGGTTCATAAATGGTAAAACTTCAAATTGATAAAACGTTTAAAGCATTTCTGAGTAGTGATGGTTACATTTCTGAGTAGTGATGGTACACTCCACTCACCACAAATATGTGCATTTATACAGGTATACAAAACACGTCATCTGGTGCCAGAACTGTAAAGAATTTCCTCTGTTTCATCCCTAGCTGCATCATCCCTCAGCAGGCATTCATACACTCACTGAAGCTTAATGTAGACACTCCAAACAACTATGAAAAATTCACCACTTGCATATAAAAATCTGTTCATACTAAAGTAGGGTAGTAGAAATTCTTCCTTCATTACTGAGGTACCAGGACTTCTTCCCCATTAATATTACTTTGAAACACACCTTCTATACTTCCTGTCATGTTTACTTGCAGTTTTACTGCTTTGTTCTATGAAAGGGAAAAAAGACAGGACAGAAGGTCTGAAGAGTTTTGTCACTGCTGTCAGCACATTTGAAATGTTTCTGTTGAATACAAACCCTCATGCTGTCACTCAGACCACACTCCCTTGTGAGACAATACCAGACTGCCGCACAACTATGTGACAGCGACCAGAATCATTTCTACATACCCAGCTTGTGAGGACTGAGAAATGGTAGCAGCCAAGCGCCATGAAACTGTAGCATGCTACCTTATACCATATCTGCATTTTAACAAACAATACCACCAGAAATCTGTCTATACTGATAAAATACTCTCTTACACTTTTCACTGGGCTGTTTCAAAAAAACCTACTGTAAGTGACAAGATAGCATGTAAAGAGTATTTATCACATGAACAAACTGACGTTCTCGTGGTTGCTTTAAACTATCATACATCTGAAACAGCAATCCCAACGCCACCTGGTGAATTGAAAAAACAGGAAAGGTATCACTACCAAATGGCCCCAAAATTGCCCCTAAACTAATTTCTTAGCAGTCACTAGGCAGACTGATTCTAGCCTGGCTGATTTCCCTTGCCTGATGTCTTTACCAGCATGTGTTCCTCATTAAAAATAAAATAGGGGAGATATGAACATAAAAATGCTATATTTATTGAAGTACTCTAAAATTGAATTATTGTGCTCTTCGTAACTTAGATTGTAGGAATCTAAACTGTAGGAGTTTAGACAATTCTTAGCTTTTCCTTTCCACAGAAATAATACCGGTTACTTCCAGATTATTCTTCTGGATTTATTCTATGTAATTCTACTGATATTTGTCCTAATATTTGTCTACTAATAGTTGTCCTATAACCAAGCCTCTGGATATATCTATAAAATACCGCTAAAACTTGTAGCATGCTAGCAGAAACCAATAGAGCAAATAAATCAAGAAATCTTAACTTTCACTTCTGCTATTTAATACAGAACAGAGAAACTCAAAATGCTTTCCTCAAACTCTTCTAGCAAAGCAGCTAATGAAAATGGAGAGAACGTGCTTTCCTTTTAAAACCTCTCCTTTTAAAATTTATTTTCTATGCCTTAGTCTGTACCAGCTGCGCCAGCGAAATGCCACCACCTGAAGAGGAGAGTTGTTTGTGTAAAGATGAGCTTACAGAAAAGAAAATACACTGCGATCTCCACAGCTGATTGCAGCCAATTTCTGCTGCTAGATGTCAGGTTTGGAGATGTGCTCTTCTTTGTACTTATTTGCGTTTTTTAATACTTGTCAAGGACAGATACTTAAACTCTGGCACCAGCATTTGTACTACCAAATAAAACACTTAAGATACTTGGGCAATGCATGTCGGAGTGACACGGAGTCGGAGTCATCATCAGAGATTCATTACAAAGCTGGACAGCTGGCTTACATGAGACATATCATCAAATGGAGTAGGAGACTTCTCCCAACGAGCCATTTGGGAACTGCACAATAGGTAGGTAAATAAAGTCAGAACCATCTATTTTTTATGTGATTGTTGTAAAAAGCAGATGCCGATCTACCCTTCAATCATCTATGGTCATCCAAATAGCCATCCAGAGAGAACTGTGGCATACTCATGGCAATGCCAATAAACAACGATGGCATTAATTCTCATTTGTGAAATATAAAATGAAATTGGTCAGGAAGGACTTGCTGGAACTATAAAAGGTCACTGTAAATTAAAGTCTCTAAACATAAGATGAGCCTGAGGTAATGAATTGTGAAAAATCATAAAATCGGTATGATTCTGTGTTCACCTCTCTCTTCACCACAAATGAATTAAAAGCTATCCTCAAAAACTGTGTTTCCATTGTCCTCTGATATCTCTAAACATCAGATTGCCACAGGAGTCACACATTCATATTCTGCAAAAGTCTCAAAGCCTCTACATGACATCTACCCTGCTATTTTAAAAATGCATAGATGACAACGCAAAGTCACCAAAACACATGGTTTTCTTCTGAATAGGAAAAGCAGGTGTAGAAAGCCTACTCAGTTGTTTGCCAAACATATATTTGTTTACTTGACCGTAGAAGCACACAAAACACTGCAGCAACATGTGTTTGCATTTGGAGACTCCAATTCAGCAAGACTCATGAACCCAGACAGCCGAGCACAGCAGTTGTGACCTGGACAGCTCAGTCAGCAATGACTGTTTATTTAGATTTATAACAATAAAACATGGACAGGCAACTGTCAAGACACTAGGTAACACACCCACAAACAAAAATGAAGAAAACGGAGCAGGAAGTTCTGCAATTTTACATATGCACATGTATACATAGATATGTCCAATATACATTTGGACAAAATGGACAATATGGATGATACGTATATTTGGCATGAGTATATATATGCATGTCTGTATAAAAAATTGCAGAAGTTCCTGCTGTATTTTTCTTCAATACATATATTGGACATACATATGTATATGTAAGTATGCATGTGTGTATGTAGCTACACAAACACAGAAAAAGTAGCTAAACTTTGTAAATAAGAAAAAGAAATCTAGCCTACTCAGCTTTCCTCCTTCAAAAACCTATGCCTGTTGAAGTGCTCTTGTAGAGAACCTTGTTTTGCAATATGCCTTGAATATTCATAAAATGAAAATTGCTAGTTACAGAGCAGGATGTGGGTCCATATGGAAAATGGTTATGTCCTTGGTTTCTGATAAAACAAGAATCATTCAAGGAATGACTAAAACTTACTCACTAAGCACCATACTACCTGGAAGTTTTATATCTCACCCGCTTACTTTTCATAATGCTTCTGCTATTTTGAGGCAAATTCCCCTGAACTCAAATTGTAAAGACTTGAGAACATTCGATTTACACTTCAGAAAATTACTAGATAACAATTATTGAAGCTTCTCTGAAATTTCACTTTCATTTTACAAGTGGAGAAAGCAGATGTAATGATACAAGTTTTCTCCTTTTCCTTTCACACACTAAGATTTGTGTACATTCTCTGGGGCAGCGATTCGCTAAGAAATGCTGTCTCTTGGCAATTTATTTAGCATTTAGACTGGCCAATAACAGTATAGTGTTTTAGCATGAATAGACAAGCTTGACAGAAAGATCTATCAGCTGTTCAGCCCACACTGCTGTACAAATGAGGAAATGACTGGAATATTAATTACCTTTAAACAGAAGTAATTACTCACTTTTGTAGGACTACTAGCAGGCAGAAATAGATAACTAGAATATAATATTATGAAAAAGGTTTCATTTTTCTGGCTTTAATAGTGCATTTGAGGATGAAAGCACAAATCTACTTCTTACATGTCTCTTCTTCCTTTCCATGCTCTGATATTCAGCACTATCTTACAGTTTTTACTTTGCATGAGAATGTGGAAAAGTGAATGGATTTGATGCTTAACTACTGAAATCCCAATTTACAGTTTGCTATTTTTGTCTTCTGGGATTTGTTAAGCTCTGCTGGTTTTGAAGCAAATGACATGTTGAATTTTTTTCAGACAAAACATTTTTAAAAGATTCATGCACATACCAATTCATGCTCTCCTAAAAACATCTAAGGCACCATCTCTTTGAATTCATCTGCTTGAATGACAATATATGGGTTTGAAGTTTCTTAGGCAATAAATTTAAACACAGCTTAGCTGCAGAATTACACTGTGAAAAATCTCAATATTTTGATACTCAATAAATTTATTCACAAACTATATTCCAATATTTATAAGCATTCTAAAAGGAAGAGTTTGCACTATATTTTCCATTTTGCTGCTCACTTCAGATTGTCACTTTTAAATGGACATGCAGCAGATTTATTCTGAAGTTAATGTATGCCATTCAACTAGGCTACAGGACTCTTTCCGAAGAAGTAGAATCCAGTTCATGATTTTAAAACCCAGGCTATTTGCAGTAGTATCTTTAGTTGCTCAGAATACCAGTCTTTGTCTATCATCTACCAAAATGTATTTTTTTAATGCACAGCATCAACAGAACTAGAGAGTAAACTGAAGAGCTTATGACATAGTATGATAAGAGCTGATTCCTTACAGTTACCCAGCTGTCATTCTAATCCCCTTTCGTGTCAGCTGAGAGCCTTTTTTCAGCAAAGAATCCATTTTGTGGAAAGGAAGACATACTCTCAGCCTATCAATTCTTTGATACCTTAGTTTTACAAGTGATACTAAGTGGAAACCTGCTCTTACCATATTTCTAAGAGGATTGCTCTCAAGAATAAAGTGTTGGCACAGCATCATTGTAATGCATGTCTGTCTCATTCACTATGATTTATGTTTTCTCCTATTGCTCTTAATTGCAGAAGTCTTGAACACTGCTCCCTCCTTAAATTAATTTTGAAAAGCTATGAGAAATCATCTGATACTACATTCTTTATGAGTGTAATTCTATCCCTCTATTTGGCTGCAGAATTAGTCCACACGCTTGCTCTTTTACTTCATCGGTTGCATCAAACAGAAAATAAGTGTATAGATTTGCGGATATTCCCAAATTATGGATGCATTAATATAGGTACAATTTTGCAGGTTTCTTAAGATTACACAATTATATCCTCTCCTAAGACGGAAGGGATATGAATATGTATTGGATGTATTATCTAGTCCAAGCGTGTCACTGGTCTCAGAAAACTATTGTATTGGCAGGAAAATCCCCATAAGAAAATGGTTTTTTAGACTACGCAAACAAAAAGGGAAGGACTGTAGCTCTAAAAATATTAATAGTGAAACAACAAGAACAGATTCTCAAAGTCCCACCCTTTTGTTAGGCTAGAACATACCTGGCATGCTGATGGATGACTGTGATTGAGGTCCCACTGGGAAGATACTATGTCAACAGACTTTTCAGCCATATTAAGCAAATTCATCCAGCCTTGGAAAAGAGACAAATGGGATGGTGCACTGTCTGAATAGTTGATCCCTTCAGGAATATTTTCCACAAGAGCAACCCTGAGAATAGATAAGGAAAAAATAACCACTTAGCAAAAGCACTTTTCTTTAGTAAAAGGTTCCAAATTGTCAAGAACATCAGGTTTTAGGCCTGTGGTTCAACATCTGCTCCCAGAGGCTCTCAGCAGTGTGCCACCCTGCAACTCACTTGGCAGTTGCTGACTGTCATGCTCCGCACTTCTCAAAACAATAAAATGCGGAAAGGACCTACTGTTAATGCAGCAAAGCCAATTAAGCTTTTGAAGCTCTGCAAAATTAGCTTAAACATGGAAAAACTTACTACTTATAACACAGTAAGTGGGAATCAGGCCTTAACATGAGGATGGTAAGAACAAAAAAATTTCTTCTTGCTTTGCCACTCTCATCTTTGCATTTAATTTCTTCTTCTCTCTAAGCAATGTGGCAAGACATAGGCTGCCTGCATTCGCTTCAGTCTGCTTTTACAGCTGACATTTTATTACACTGCAGTCTCTATAAATGAACTCTCTCTTTCCAACTGCTCTAAGCTACCTAATTTTTATGGTTTTGTTTACCTGTATAAGGCTCTAACTGGGATTCAATGGTTAAGAAAAGAATAATTATGCCCTTTTAATGTCCTATTCTTTTTGGTAGGCTCCTTGATCTTACTGTTTGTATTATTCAAAATGCTTGTCAATTACATTACATACATTCACGCTGATCCAAGAAGCTAAAAAACATTGTAGTAAACTGACAGTTCAAAATAATAGTCCTTTGCTTCAGGGAAATGATGTGTTTCATTCAGCATACTGCCTCACTGCTAGATGTCCTTAAATTGCAGCAGGTAAAGCTCCTCTCTACACTCAGTAGAGGAATCTTAAAAATAAATGCAAGTCACACAAGTTTCCCAATTCTGTCTTTAGGTAAACAGTTGAAATTTTCAATTTATCCAAGTGGCACTTCTGTAAGTGCCACCAACATCTGCCCCTTTTACTGTGAATCATACAAACTAGATTTAGGAAAGCTGTAGTAGGAACTTGGAGAATACTCCTTTTTGTTGTATCCAAGTACATCAAGTATTTCCAGATTGTTTCTGTACTTATTAATAGCATTAATTATCAACTCCAGCAACATGAATATAATTTGTAAACTTTTTTAAAGTAAATCATTAGTACAAATCTGTAGTATAAATGAGAACTGTACAATTTTTGAGTGTTAGAAAAACAGATTAGTGCAGTATCTTCTGTTAATTCAGTTTACCCTACAGGGTCACATGGAAACTTTTACAGCTATTTCAGAATATCAAGCATATTTGTGAAGTTAACCCATTAAAAGACTAAAGATTAGTACTCTTTTAACAGTATAAATAAAACCCAGCAAGAACTGTGATACAGTAAACCTGTGGTAATTATCACATTCTTACTCTCCTGGCCTGGCAAAAAATCCACCTCACCCCACTCCCACCCCAAACCAGAACAGGCACAGCTCCTCTTTTCCTTAAACATTCAAGTATGTTCTTTCATTCCCCCAAATCCGTTAAACAACATACATATCGCTAAGCTACAATTACCAGCGATGTTTTCCACATCATACTTTGAACACCCTCTTCTACTGATTTACATTAAAACTTAACTGCATGACACTAACAGTTGCAACACCAGTAAATTAACTGTAAAAGGTTAAAAAACACAACTTGATTTTTTGATGTTTTCAAAGTATGCTTTATTCTAAAACATTCTACCTACCTTGTTTACAAGCTTTTCAAAATAACTAGTTCCCTAAAAATTTAGTGCCCTTACTAGTCCATTAAGCAATGTTGAACTTTTAAAAAGAAAATATTTTACTCTAACACTCAAAATTTTAGACTCACTCCTACTGCATCTAATCCTGTTACAGAACTTAATAAAACTTTTGTTAGATCTCTTGAAAGCCTGGCTAGTTCTTTTTTGAAAGTTAACATTACTTATCATACTGCGGCTCTTAGCAATTTCCATGTTCCCAGACCTGTTTTATGGAGAGCTGTAGGATGATCACCTTCAAAGAGCAAGATATTGAAGCACAGAAGATAAAGTGATCTCTACAGTGACATAAAAATTTTTCCAACAACCTAGTGGCAAAATGAGAAATGAATCCATGTCTTCCTGGCCTCTTCCATCCCCTACCAATCACACGTAGATACAGAAGAGACTTATTTTGAATATTCTCCAAAGATATTCTTTATATCAAATGATCATTCAAAAAATAATCTATCAAATGTGGTTCTGATTTAGCTAGGAATTAAAAATGCACAGCACTCCTTTAACACAAGATGTAACCAAAATTTCTTGACATTAGAATATTGCCTGACATACACAGCATTTTCTGGTTGGACCTACGCAAATGAACATACAGGAGCCCAACAAATAACTGATAGGACTGAATCTGTCCCGGTCACTTCAAGTGGCTTGCAGTGGTGTTTCCTATGGGCTGTACTGAACTGCTGTTTCACTGGAAATCATTAGCTTAACTTCCATTCTTCCTATCTCTGTCTTTGACAAGCTGAAAGCTGCCAAAAAGGTAACACTGTCACAGAGTCACAGAAGTGCTGAGATGATCTGGAGATCATGTAGTTCAACCACCCCTGTCAAGGTAGCGTCAATGACAACACATTGCTGAGGACATTGTCCAGTCAGGTTTTGAGTATCTCCAATATCATCAAGTCTAAGAAGCTAATTAACATATATGTGAGATCAAGGCTCTGATCCAGCCAAACACATACATTTTTATTTCTGATGCTTTGATTTCATGTGATTTAGGTCCAAAGTAGGGGAAAATGCTGTGTGTGTATATATATATATATATATATATATATATATATATATATAATAAACCCAGATTCCAGCTATACCTTCAAGAGTAATACAGGAAGAGCTGCAGATGTGGGTCACTGCTGTATAGATACATTTGGGCACAGATACCATCAAGATACAGAGAAACGTTGGGCTCTTCCTCCTGTTCCACAGGTTAAAACCATTTACTTATTCAAACAAAGTAGCAAGGCAAATTTGCTGGGCAAAAGGAAACTCATCTCCCTTTTCAGAAAGTTCCCTTCCCAGGGACAAGATGCCTCTTGGTAAGTAAGTTTGTCCTGACTGTTAGACTGAACTTGCTCTTCACTAAGAGATAAGCTCCCAACTTTTCAATATGCATACTCTTCATCAGGCTACAGCATAGCACCAAATAAGGAATGTGACTACACAGCTCCTGCCATTTTATAATTTCAGTTTGATTATATAACAGAAGCCAAACGCACTCCAGTTAGCGAAACTGTCATTCAGAACAAAGATTTTCTGATAATGTATTTCCTAGTCTTTTGTTTAACCAAATAGTATGTACTTCATGTTCTTTAGCAGACAAAGACATTTCATCTAGCTAGGGCACTAGTTAAAATGTTGTTTTCAGAGTTTAGACTTCCCTTTAATAATGAACTGATTCTGCCAAATCCCCCCAATATATTCCTCTACCTACTCAAAAACTCCACACCAAGGTCAGAGGTTAAAAAAATAGTCAACCACTAAGTTTCTAAACTAAGTGATTTTGTCTTCATATTCTCTTTTCCTTTGGCACAAGAGCAAAGTTCCAGTGATTAGTCAAGAAGAGTTTTGTTAAAACTTCTGTGCAAAAGTTTTGTGCTTGAGTTTGCAAGCCCTGATTCCATCAATAAAAGTTAAATTTAGCTCATATTTTTTTGTTGCAATATGACCCACAAAGAGGTCTTTAAAACTTGTTATCACAAAATCTTCCAGAAGAGAAGGTCATTCACAGACCTTGAGTAAGATCAGACATAGTGACATAATTTATTTTGCAAAAATGGCATATTGACAAAGCAAAACAGAACAAATGTGGCATGGCAATTAAACAAACTTTTCTTATGTTCAAAATCATTAGAAGATAACCTTACGCCTGTTAGATGAGATGTCCCTCCCTGATTTCCTGGTACTGTTACGTATTTCATCTGATTAATGCAAACACAGACTAGCCCATTCAGTTATATAGCTGAATATTCTCAAACCTACCTCACACAGACTGAGAAACCTGAAAGTAATATTACATTATTTCTGTGAAGTTATAGAGAGAGGCAAGGGTCAGGGCTGAGATTCAAGCTAACAGAAATGTGGTAAGCAGTGTAACAGTATTTAATGTCTAACAAAGAATAGACATTGACCTCAATAATAAGACCCTTCTGAGCTCAGCCACATGACTTTAGCAATTCCAAGTGAATTTTGTCCAAGGCTAAGGACATCTTTGACAGTTCTTTGGTCAGAAAGTGAGGTTTGTTTCTGATCTCACACTAATTTTTTTGCCTCTGAAGAAAACAGAGATACTCTTAATTTAGCATCTGGGTTAATTAGAGTAGAAAGAAGGCTACGGCAGTGAAAATATGCAGAGGTTATATGTCTGTCTCTTGAATAACCTTGGGGTTATTGGGAAAAATTTATAACTGTCTGCTGAAAAGTTTAGCTGTAATGATTACACGAGTATAAAAGAAAAGGTCTTTTGATAGTTCCAACTTCACACCATATTAAAATGATAAGCTGTAGAACTTTATTCACTACAGTTTGTCTCAATCCAGAGTCATATACTAAAGAAAATCCAGGTCATGAGCACTCGAATGTCTCTACATCTGAATTTTCTCACCATTAAAGTGAAGAAACATGAGAAGAAAACACTGCAATGATTTCTATGAGATAATAAATGAAAAATTAACAAAGGCTATCTTTGACTGCTATATTTCATACAAGAAAGAGATAAAAAGAAAAAAGAAGAAGGAGGAGAAAAAAGAAGAAGGAGGAGAAAAAAGAAGAAGGAGGAGAAAAAAGAAGAAGGAAGGAGAAAAAAGAAGAAGGAGGAGAAAAAAGAAGAAGGAGGAGAAAAAAGAAGAAGGAGGAGAAAAAAGAAGGAGGAGAAAAAAGAAGGAGGAGAAAAAAGAAGGAGGAAGAGAATAGAGTACTAGGAAAGGTGCATTAGACCTGCCCCTACAGCAGGGTCCTAGTTAAAGATAC